TTTTTATCAGAAATATTTTTAAGTTTCCTCTTCTTCTTCTTCTTCAAAAAAAAAAAAATACATCGAAGGAAATCTGGCAACTCTCGAATGTTCATACGTCGTTTCTCCTTAGCACGGCAGCATTCTTCTGCTCCTATTAGCACAGTCCCAAAGGACAAGTACGCTTCTCACATGCAGGGTATAATTGATTTCATTTTAGAAACGCCAGTTTAACTACATTTTGAAAGAAATTAAGATGTTTAGAATTTGTTTTTAACATTATTTTAAAGCTTTTCTGTTTTATATATAAAAGATAAAGCTTTAATTGTAAATGACGTCGATTTCCTCTCTCTCTCCTCGGAATTTTCATTATTCTACTTTTTTTTTCTCTCTGTACGGCAAGCTATGTAAGAACAGTGCCAATTACCATAAAAGAATGATTATGATTAGGTCTGGTTCAAAATTTCGATCATTATCACAAAAGAATCGATAAAAAAAAGTTAATAAAATAAAATATCACAAAACAATAATAGAACCACGAGATGATGCAAGGAAAAAAATGTCAGATTTTTAAATAAGATCGAAACTATAAATCAAAATTCGGCAAGTAGACACAATACAGGACAGTACACATAGCACACGGTAGTTAAGCGGTTCGACCGTCGAATTTACACCGAATGACCTTGATCGATAAAAAGCATTTCTGATGAGATAGAGGTTTATCGATCAGAATCATTTGATAACGATTCAACAATCGATTGGCAGCAGTACAGTGTTTTATTATATCTTCAGCTTTTCTCAGACACTAGTACAGAGGTGAAAACATTCTGATAGGTTTTGCAGGTTTTGATATAATTTACACAAACACAAATAATTGAATTATTTCTGCTACAGGTAAGCGAAAGTCTTCCCTCTATAAGTGCATGAAAGTTCTCGTCGATCATTCGTCTGCAGTGAAATGGTCTCATCTACCTCCTCTCAGGCTGATACGTCTACGGATTAAAAGAATAACGTGAGTTATTATAGTTTGCTCCATAATTTCCCTTTTTTGTTTGTATTTTTATTTTTATTTATATCTTGTGTAATTTCTATCGGCAGATGATGATATTCAAATTTTTAAACCAGAAACGTCGTTATTTTAACATCGCAAATGCTTGAAATATGTTCAGTGCACTTAAAATTACAATTTAAAAGTATACGGGCGTGATACTAAAACTCAGACTGTAAAATTATCTCATACGAGGAGCGTCACGGGCTACCAAAATTTCTATGTTCTCCGTTTGGTGTTTTCATATTTACACCCAAGCATTTTTTTCGTCAAAAAGTTTGACTCTTTTATTTAAGTTCCGCCCATGTTAATTCATTTGCAGCAAATAGTACCGCGAGACCACCGTTTGGCTCATAAGTCCTGGGATCTTCTGCAGTAAGTAGCTCACTATAACATGCATCAAAGTCGCCTTCAGTTGGGCTCGCAGCAACCCGCGCATCAGGAGTGCACGAATAGTTTACCGATCGGAGCATACGGCGCACACCAAGCGACAAATGCTATTAGTTTCCTAAACATTTAAAGCTTTCTCGCTAAAATTGGAAGAAAGAACGCATTACATCTCTCATCTTTTCCTAAAGAAACATGTTGTGTTTGTTATGTTTTGTTTGTTGAAGAGTAGGTATCAAACAAAACATTTTCATTAAATGATGATTTGTACTTTTTCTGTCGTTTTTCTCTAGAACTGCAGCTACTCTGTGTGGCCTCTGTTTGAGATCATTATTCTTATTCAAGTTCTAATTCTTGAAAAACGTGAATTAGATGGGGGTATTATCTTGGAGTGACATGATTTCAACTTTGTAAGATTTAATCTAACATAAAAAAACGTACAACTTATGCGTGTTTGTTGTTGGATCATAAATCCTGAAAGTTTTTTGAAATGAATTACTACTAATGTCTAAAGATACTGCGATGTTTTTATTTCTATACGATCTATACATTTTGAAATTACAAGTATATCTGCATGTTAACTTAAACAATTTACAATCTGCATTTGTACAAAGTATTTTACAATTTTTATCAATCCTCAAAGCAAGGAAGCTGATAGTGTCAAATTATTATGGGAAGTAATATCTCTCTTTAATCTGGAAACTTATCTACATTTTTTGCTTTTTACACTGATTAGCATCCACATTAATATGTTAAATATAGTTTCTTCAAACATTTTGAAAACTATAAACGTCAATGCTCTAACAACTCTGAGGTGCCGAGCTCAAAAATGTATCAAACTCTTTACAACCAACAAAATTCGTTAAAAGACATTCAACATGTTCAACATGTTTTTCACGCAACTAGAATCAGGAAAAAAAATCTTGTAATAACCTCATTTTTTTCCCTGAAAACGGTCCATTGATACAGTGATACACGCTAGCGGTTTTGGAATGTACTCCTCGTCGCTTATCAAAATTGCGTATCTCTTTTGCCACGTATCTCTTTTTACGACGCCACAGGCTTCCTGTCATTCTTCATTTTTTCTGAGGAAAACTAGTCAACGTAATTTCTTGATGTTATTGATTTAGTATCACGCTTTCAAACAGGCATCACTATCCTCTTTCATCCTCATTACCTTTATTCTTCTCACTTTTACAATAGTAGAATGAAAAAGCTAAAATTGAATCAGTGGGAACGAAAATACACCTACTCGAAAAAATGAAAATAACAAAGACAGACACGAAACTGCACAGTAGGTGAAGAAGTTAGCTCAAGAAAAAGACTTTTAGTGCCGAAAGACAAGTACTTAAGGACTCGTTAAGGTGATTCGATGGACGCCATATTTTGTGTCAGACGGCATGCGATATATCACATCAATTGGTTCCATTTTTCAGCTACTTGTCATTTTTCTCCAATTTTGAGATCGCAATTCTGTTGTCAGGAGACTAAAGCACTCACTTACCAATTTCAACGAAGAAATTCAACGTAATAAAGGCGTAGTTTTTTTAGAGAGAAAATATCGCATTCGAGTGCAGTTTCGATATCAGTACGCCTTTATTACGTTGAATTTCTTTGTTAAAATTGGTAAGTGAGTGCTTTGGTCTCCTGACGACAGAATTGCGATTTCAAAATTGGAGAAAAATGACGAGTTGCTGAAAAAATGGAACCAATTGATACGATATATCGCATACCGTTCTGACACAAAATATGGCGTCCATCGAATCACCTTAAAGGTCCAAGTTCGAACAAATGCACTAACTTCATACCCTTTATAAAAATTGACTGTCTTCAATGCAAATTGAGTATTTTCGCGTTATCGAGTTGGTGTGTTTTTGAACTCACTGAACCACTGGAGAATTGGCATGCAATTTTTTTATTGCTGCATCTGAAAGTTCTAAAAGAGCTGATTTCACAGCATTTTTTATAATGTTTTCGTGATTTGGGAAATAGAAAAATAGATTTAAAAGTGAGAAAATGCACCGCTTAGTGACGTCATCTAGCAGCATTTCCCACTTAAACACATGTATTTTAGCAGATTAGATCATTTTGTCTTATCTTCTCCAATAATTGTTCAATTCATGAACCAAGGGTATCCTCGTGTTCAGTTGTCTCGTTAGTTTCCACTTAAACACGAAATTCATCAAATTACAGACACCTGCAAATTCTCTATCGTGGAAAACAAGGCTAAAAACAAAATAGACAAGAACCCATGATGTTCGTTCGATTCCTTAGACCATTATCAACCGGAACAACAACACATTCAAAAAATAAATTAAATTAAAAATCAATGCAAAGCCATGGGCAAGGCCAGCGAAAATAACTCTCACTATTTTATTGACCACTCCGTGTCCTTCCTCCCTTCACCCTGGGTTCCACGTCCAATCCTCCTTGATCATGTCGGGATATCATGGGGGATATCGGGGGATCATGTTATCATTACAAAAGAATGAGAACCAAAAAAATATTACAAACAAATATTGCAGAAAACAAGGCTAAAAACAAAACGAGCAAGAACCCAAAAAGTCCGTTCGATTACTCAGACCATTATCAATCGGAACAACAGCACATTCAAAAAATAAATTAAATTAAAAATCAATCCAAAGCCATAGGCAAGGCCAGCGAAAATAATCTTCACTATTTTATTGACCACTCCATGTCCTTCCTCCCTTCATTCTGGGTTCCACGTCCAGTCCTCCTTGATCATGTCGGGATATCATGGGGGATATCGGGGGATCATGTTATCATTATAAAAGAATGAGAACCAAAAAAAATATTACAAACAAATATTGCAGAAAACAAGGCTAAAAACAAAACGAGCAAGAACCCAAAAAGGTCGTTCGATGACTCAGACCATTATCAATCGGAACAACAGCACATTCAAAAAATAAATTAAATTAAAAATCAATCCAAAGCCATAGGCAAGACCCGCGAAAATAACCTTCATTACTCTATTCACTACTCCATGTTTCTCCTCCCTTCACCCTGGGTTCCACGTCCAATCCTCCTTGATCATGTCGGCGCCCTTCTCTGCGATCATGATGGTGGGCGAGTTGGTGTTACCGCGGACGATCCTGGGCATGATGCTGGCGTCGATGACCCGGAGCCCGCGGACCCCGTGGACCCGGAGCCGGGGGTCGACCACCGCCCCGGGGTCCGACTTGGGCCCCATCTTGCACGTGCCCGAGGGGTGGAAGATGTTGGCCGTGTACTCCGTCACCAGGCACCGCCAGTAGCCGTCCGTCCCCCAGACGTGTCTCGCGCACTCCGGGACCGGGACTTTGACCATGAAGGCCCCGATGCTCTGCATCGCCTCCGTCTGGATGCCGCGGACTGCGAGCTTGATCCCTGGGGTGCATGAAGTTTTGAGGTTAGGAATTAGGATAGAGAAAAAAAGGAGGTGTTTGCATCTTGAGGTTTGTTTACCCTTTGACATAGGTCGGTACAACCTGGCCAGCGAAATCCGGAATTCGAAGTATGAAAAACGAACCATAATGTCCCTTTTTTTTGCTTAAATCAACTCATGATATAATTTCAAGCACTTTTTATGGAATGACTTTTTTCCATAAATTACACCATTTCCGAGAAAATTGATGATAAAAGTCGCTGTACCGACCTACGTTATCAAAAAAATCCAAGATGCTCGAAATGCAAACACCTCCTTTTTTTCTCTATGAAGAATCAGGATGATGAGATCAAAGAATGAGATAAATGACGTTGTTGAGCAAGGTAGCGAAGTATTCTCAGCCATGCAACCCTTTTTTGGACGTACCGTCCGCATTTCAGACTCAGACGCCGAGAGTCTCGGGCGTAGCACCCGGAACTTTCGGCCTCGGAGTCCAGAACCGACGGTTTGTCTAGGTAGCCCGCCCGTAACTTTTTTTTTCAGTGCATGCTACAATTCTTGGAATTTTTGAGGAAATTCGAAAAAGGGTCGTATGGCTGAGAATGCTTCGCTATCAGCGAAGTGATGAGAAAGTCTCCAATATGCCATGAATGAATTCTTATACTGTCCCTCATGTGTTTGACTGTTGTGTGCAAAAATGCACCCAGTTTTCTTCCCCGCATGCACTACTCCTACGGAGGATCGATTTCTCCCTGGAAAAACTCGTCCTTGAGGAAAATCAAAATGTAATTGAAGTTTCAAGGCTCATTTCCCGAACTCAAGGCTAAAAATTACATAGCAGTTTTTTAAAAATTATGCTTCACAATATGACGTAGCCCAAAATTTACAGGACGGTGTAATTGGACTACATTTAGCAATGAAGAACTGCAATATCTGACTCATCTGTAAAATTACCTATCTGTGTAGGGAAACGTATGCCACACACGTTGTTTCTGAAATGAGCCGGAAATAGTAGTTCCTTATTGCAAAATGTTGTCCGATTGGTCCGCAGTAAAATTCTAATTTAAACGTTTATTTTGACGTCCTGTACATTAATGACGGACTAGTGCACTTCTGGCCTTGTCTACTTTTCTTCATTGAAAATTGGACCGTGTTAAACAGGAAAGAACTGAGCCACATCGGCCATTGGCAAATTTAATTGGGCAATTTAATTATATACATGAAAACGTTTGTGCGGTTTTTTTTGCAAATTTCTCAGTGAATTTTCTCCACAGCACGAAGCAAATTCCTGAAAATTTTCAAAGGGTTCCGCACAAACGCTCTCTCGTTACAAATTAAATTGCCCGGTTAAACTTGGCAATAGCGGATATGTCTTGGTTCTTTTCTGTTAAACGCGGTTCAATGGAAACAGTAAATTATGGCTTACCATAGAGTACATAGCGTCGTAATGTAAGTGGGTGAGCTGGCGCCACCTTTAAGCATTTTCCAGGTCCTGAATTCCGAGACTCCTGTGTGACGCCGGGTCACTTTTTCGATACATAATCGATTGTTTGCGATACACGGGTACCCGGCCATCCTATGTAAACAAAGAAGATAGGAATCACCACGTATTCCACACCGCCATTTTGGATCGAACATGTATCGAAAAAGTGACCCGAACTCGGCGCACGCCGGACTCGGAACTCGTCGAGCAGAACATGGCGCCAGCTCTCCCATTTACATAACGACTCTATGTACTAATTAAACATGATTGGAGAAGCATCTATGAATAATAAAATAAGGATTAAAACAGGAACCTTGATGCTCATCATTTTTTTACTTACAGGATTAACCTCTATATGTACTAAATTATGTAAGTAAAAAAATTATTAGCATCAAGGTTCCTGTTTTAATCCTTATTTTATTACACTATGTACTCTATGTGGCTTACCCGCAACCAAAGTATCAAGGTCTTCCTGTCGAGTGAAATAGCCGTTGTGAATGATCGGCGGGCTGTTGAAGGGATCCGTCATGTTGAGGAGGATGCGCCCGCGACTTTTGGGCTTTTGGACGACCGGGCGAATGGTCAGGCCGTCGTAGTAGCCCAAGGGCTCCATCCTCGCCGGCCCCACCAGCCGAGGATTCAGCAAAAAATCGCCTAATTGTGCTACATCGTACGAGTACTGGATATCCGGCACGTTCCACTCTGTGCTTAGCCTGGGGGTGCATCCACAAACAGAAAGTTTAAGCAAATGAAAAACAACTTAATTAGCCAAAATTCACATAGTAAAACAGCAACTTAAGGGGAAAAGGCTGCAAAAAAAACAACAAAGGATAAACAAAAACCCGGAACGTTTCAAAATATTAACAATTTTATTTTCCACCAAAAAATGAAAAGTGAAGTGAAATGAAAGTTGAAAATGAAATTGTTAATATTTTGAAACGTTCCGGGTTTTTGTCTATCCTTTGTTGTTTTTTTTGCAGCCTTTTCCCCAAATTAAGTTGTTATTTTAAGCAATTGCAATTCGTTAATATAGGTAGCATTGGTCGGTCTAGTGCATGCCATAAACCTGTGTTAAGGTGATCGGAGAAGAGACAGTATACATTTCAGTGAACCCACTCTCTCAATCGAAAGGTGTATTCAAGTGAGACAAAAATTAAGCTCGATTCACAAATATTTGACAACTTTTTGTCTAATGATGATTGATCAGTAACTTGTTACTAATTGTATGCGACATCGTACGTGTACTGGATGTCCGGTACGTTCTTCTCCGTGCTTAGCCTTGGGGTGCATTCACAAACGGAAAGTTTAAGCAAATTGCAATTCGTTAACATGCTACCGTGCCGAGGAAAAACGCCGTATGAACATTCGAAAGTTGCCAAATTTCCTCTCATAAAATGTTGATTGTTGAGGAAAGTTATAAAAGTTTTTCCTTGAGATTTTTCAGGAATTTTGGGTAAAATTGCGAGTATAATTGTTTGTAAAATTGGGAGAAAAAAACTCTTAAATTAATCAAGAAATTCGTGTTTTATCGAAGTAAATTTGGCAATGCCTGATGGCTCATACGGCGTTCTTGCTTAGCACAGCAGTGTAGGTCGCACCGGTTAGTCTAGCGTATGCCATAGAATCGTGTTACGGTGGTCAGAGAAGAGACGATATACATTTCAGTAAACCCACTCTCTCATTCGAAAGGTGTAATCAAGTGGGACAAAAATGAAGCTCGATTGACAGCTATTTGACAACTTTTTGTTTAATGATGATCGATTAGTATGCTGTTAATCATTTTACGGAAAAAGAAAGAGGACGGAGTTGTTGTATGATATGGAATTTTTCAAGTAATTGTGGTAGTATCCATATTAATTGTGGTAGTATATACCGCGATAAATTAGTCTACTAATCCAAATGTCGCGGTAGCAGCCCAACTTGAGTTGCGGTACTAGGCCACTTTATTGAAATTGTCCATATCATTCAAAAAATTGCGGTAGTGCCACAATTATTTTACGGAATGACCCCTAACCCTTTTCCCCGTATTTATTAGCCCACTGATGACTGATAAACCGTTTTTACGTTGTACATAAGGACGTATTTGCATTTCTATGTGACCCCTAGAAATCATGATGTTACGTAGACAATAGGAGTAGGGTTTAGTTTAAAAAACTGCTACACGCCCTTTCTTCTAGAAGCGACGAAATTTCTGATGGAGCAGATAGCAGAATGCTAAACTGAGTTATCATGCAAACCCGTATTTAGAGAGAAAATGGTGGATATTACCTAAGAAAAGAACTTTGTGTACATCTTCCCTGGTAAAAATTGGCGATAAGAGCTGCGTTTCAAAATACCGTAGGAATTCTTATAGACGGCTAAAGAAGGCTACAGAAAATCATATAGCTGGCTGTAGAATGCAGAGAAAATGATACGGCCGGGCTATACGAAGCGATAAAAAATTATGCAGCCGGGCTAAAGTTCCTATCGCCGGGCTTTACACTTTATCGCCTGGCTGTTGCTTTTTCGCCATCGATTATAAAAGCCTATAAGAAATTGTGTATAAACTCGCGTGCTTTGGAAATCATTAAGTTTGAAACGGAACCACCTTAATATTTACAAAACACACATTATATTTTCCTTAATACATATTTTTTTCATCAATTAAAATGAGAATAATCCATACAGGATGTGCAAACA